ACAAGGCAATAAAACGGTTCCAAAACAAATTCGACAACTTTTTTAAGCGGGTTTGAAGCCAAAAACAAATTTTATCGCGTCATCAATTGTATTAGTGTATCGTTTCAAAACATTAATCCATGTGATACAGCTTATAACAAGAGGTAAAGCAAACTGAATTTTTAGGGCAATACGTTGTACTAACTATGCTTATTTGGACTACTTATTAGCACTGATACGGATGAACGCAAATACTAATGACTTTTGTCAAATACCCCGGGCGGGTGGTTTGTGATAATGTTGGACGTTTGGGTAAGCATAATAATGTTTTTTAAAAACAGGCGAAGCTTGGAATTATGGTTCTAATTCACATTGTCATGTAGATTCAGGAATTAGAAAAAAAAAAAAGTTGAGACTTCTTTTCCCAATTCCTAAGCATGGTACATTCTTGTAAATAGGAGCAGTCTTACTATAAATAAAATTTACCCGCCTTAAATTGTACATATAGAACCCATTTTAATAGCATATAGTTGATTTCCGCACGCTACCACTTTCAAGGGTAAATGTCTTCATTGTAATTTTATAACTGCGGTTGTTTCAGGCAAAAAAAAAAAAAAAAAAAAAAAAAAAACTAAATAGAAGGCGTGAGCATTTCGGATGCAATAGACATTTATGAGGACGATTTAGCAAGGTATCTTGCTGAACCCGTTCAATTACGCAATCGAGGAGAAAAAAATAACCCAATGACATACTAGAAGTATTCACAAGTTATGTATTCAAACCTTGCAAAAATGGCACGCAGATTCCCTTCGCCCCCCCCCCTCTGCTTCATCTACTTCTTGCGGAAGTTTATTTAGTACTTCTAAGCATTTGCTTACACCAAGTAGATCTTAACTAACTGTTGAAAGTCTTAACGAAAGTGTTCTTCTTCATCATTGGCTTAAAGACAATGTGCACTAATATCTTTTCCTTTTTCATTGTCTTTTTTTTTATTATTATTACGATTTTTTTGATAGTCGAGGATAGAGTGTCAAGTAAAGAAAAACAATAAAGTACTCTACCACTGCTTATAAGTTTTATTAAGAGTAAAAGTAGATTAAAGATTGAGAGTGATCTATTCTAATTATCAGTTTGCATATTTATATGTGTTGTTAAGACACTAGTAATAGTTCTTAAAGGATAAGGTGGATATAGGTTATTAACACTGATGTTAAAAATAAAGTAGTTATGAAAGTGACAGCACCAGACTGGAAGTAGTCAACTTAAGAAATCTTATAAAGTTTTTTAGGATAAGAAGATAATCAACGATGATTTTAAGAGGGCGTAAGTAATATAAATATAAACTGATTTCCAAGATTAAAAAGAAAAGTAATTATGTCATTATAAACAATATCTTATATACGGTTTTGGGTAATAAAGAGATTCAAGTCGAGTGTGAAATATGAACTTTGAGTTAAATGTTATATGATAAGTAGAAACTTAAGATAAACAAGAAGTATGAAAGTTGAGGGAAACACAAAGGAATCAATTACAAATTATTAAGAAACTAGATTTTTAGTCAAGATTAAACTGAAGTCATATTTATTGAAAAATAAGGGAGCGTATTCATAGGAAATATCCTATCCTGTGTAACACCAAGTCAATTTAAATTGGCTGCAACTGTTTTGCATGGAGAACAAAATTAACAAAAACCAAAAGTGATACTTTTAGAATTTGGATACCACTTTATTATGGAGAAAAAAAGAAATTAATTAAAAAACGTATTCAAAATGTATTCATGGTCTATGAGAAAAAACTATGGATATTGATATGAAGAACTGGGATAGTTCTATGGAGAATATTAAGCGCCCTATTGGATCATAATGTAATAACCCGGTGATATTAAATAATCAACATGTCTTTAAATTTAGCCCTTCCATACTAAGTATATAAATATTAGTCAGAGGGGATCAACAGTTATAACATCAAATGACAAGAGTCATATTTGTGCTCAGGATCTATTAATATTCTATAGTCCAGGCCCATTCGATTGTATTGCTTTTTTGCAGAATAAATATTTACTCGCCACAGGTTTGTGCCCTGCGTACAGACTTCAACGGTAGGATGAGAACAAGCGGGGGAATGTGTAATTCATGATTAACTTTTATATTTATTATCCATCCTCAATGTGATGTGACAATTAACTTTATTATTATATCTATGATATCCTCTACAGCAACACCGATTTAAAGAATCAGGGTAGCCAAATAAAAAACTCGTGGCTAATAGAAAAAAAAAATCTGGTTTTTGTTCGAATATCATAATCAACATCCCACCCCAGTACGCTTTTTTCGTAGGTAATCTGATGGTGTAGCACCACTTTTAAGCTTGTGCTGGAGACTTGGTGAGATATTTTCTGATATGACTTCTAAAGTACTTTCTACCAGCCTCTTCATTGAACCATCTCGAAATCTTTTGTACTCCTTTTTCTGTAAAAAAAAAAAAAAAATCATCCACACAACCATCACTAACGCTGCTGGGTAAAAAATGCCTGAATTTCTTCCTCCCGTAAATCACTCTCAGTGCCCTCCCATCTTTGCACTGCGGCAAAATTCAAAAATTTTACTTCATTCTAAAAGTTTAGTAGATTTGGAAGTATTCATTATTGGATTTATAAAAAGTAGCTTACCAAAGTACCAATATTTTCTTCCATATTTTAATCCATTACGGTATTAGGCAAGATATCCCCATGCTGTAAATAGGATGTGAATGCTTTTAAAATGAAGAAAGACAAAATATGTGTATTACCTCATCATGACGACCGCTAGTAGCTGCAATATATTCAGTTATATTGTTATTGCTAACATGAACAACACTGTCTCTGGTGGAAGCATGAGACTCTCGATCTTCTTACATACGCGAAACAGGTAGCAGCTCCTGCAGTGAACATGGTCATTTTGACAAGCCTCTGTTGATTTCGTCTTGGATAATCCATCAAACACTTGGGACTTGACCGAGATGGATATGGATCTTTTTTTTTTTTTTTTTTGAACCTTGTTTTTTTCTCTGAAGCGACATCATTTTGATAAAAAGAACTGCGCGTCCAAACATTTTTTTTTTTTTATGGAGTAGAAACTAAAAGAAGAAATAGGAGGGGGGAAATGGATTGCTTTTTTATTATTATTATTATGATTATTCGTTGTCATCATAGGTTTATTTATTTATATAAGAGAGAGAGTTTAAAAAAAAAAGTTTAATATTACGTTTTCAGGGCCGTTTCCTGCGCACGCTGAATTTCCTTTTTTTGGTTTTACAGAGGTTTCTGGCTATCTGATTGGCAATTTTTTACAGCGGTTTCGAGGTATTTTATTGGCTAAAAAGAGTTCCTTACTACAAAGCGTACCCATAGTAAGGGGGTAATTTATTTATTTTTAACAGCGGCACAGGCTTGATACACTGTGCATGCCTTCTTTTTCTTTTTTTTACTATTATTATTATTACCTTCTTGTGAATTGAATATATTTATGCAATCACTTGTCCGATTGAATTATAAAAATTAGCACCAGTCGAAAGGATGCATCTTAGGCGCATTTATTTTTCATGTATTTTTAATTAAAACATATGTCTAAATACTTATACCCCCCCCCCTCTGCTGGATTTCTATCGGAAGACCTCATATGTTAGACTTTTCTTGTGTGTGTGTGTGTTCAAAACTTGCTTTAGTTTAATCCAACGACGCTCCCCCTAGTTTTGAAAGCGCCCCTAATTTTATAATTTATTTATTTTTTATATTTAAATTGTCGAGTATGAGCCCGTTTTTTTTTTTTGTGTGTATAACCGAACGAAACAAAGAACATGACTTGCTCGGTTGATTACATGAAACAAAAGCCAAATGTGTTTTAGGAGATAGAATTCACTCAAGTAACGTAAGATGTTTGCATATGCCGATTTTTTTTTCTTAAATGTACAATCACTAAATTGTGATTTTTTACCTTGCCACTTATTTCATGTAGATGGGATGATTTTCTTTACTAAATTGCATTTTTTTTTTTTTTTTAACAGACAAAAGCTTTATAAATGACATGTTAAGGCTTTTACTGACGTTGCCATGAAAGGGGAAACATGAAAATTGTTTCGAAGAACAACTTTCCCAGTCTCTGATTTTTTTTTTTTATATATGAATGATGAGGAGCAATTCCTTTTATTGAGTTGGTTTTTTTTTTTTAGTGGAGCCTTGACGACGAATGGTACCTTTGTCATCCTATAGGGGAGGCTCGCGTAAAATTAAAATTTCCTTCCCCAAACGGAAAATAGAGATTGTCCCATTGCGCGGGAAAATTAAAAAAAGGGAGGGAAAAAACCTGTCAAAACGGTTAAATCTTTTAACGTCCCCCCCACCCACCCACCGATGGTAATCAAAAAAAAATTTCCGGAGAAGGGATGATAATCTTTTGGGCCCTTATCATGATGATCATTTAAGATTGAATTTTTTTTTTTTTTTTTTTTTTTTTTCTAAACCCCCACCCCACAAACCATTTGTAACAACAACAACAAAAAGATAGATCATTGTGTTATTTCCCACGCCTCTCTTTTTTTCTCCCAAATGAAATTTCCCCACCCACCTTCTCCCATGCATTTCCTCGCTTGGGAAAAAAAAAAAAACTCAAAGGAAAAGTGACTTTTTGCTACGTTGCACGAAAACAAGATTTAGGTTCACACAAGCATGATTGGTACAATTCCCCCCCCTTTGATTCTTGTGCTTTAAAAAAAAAAAAAAAAAAAAAAAAACCGGCTTTTAAAAAAAAAAAAAAGCTAAAAGTCCATTGATCATATCTTTTAGGGTGGGGTAGCATTCGGTCAACATGGATTTAGAAAAAAGTAATAGACATGTATCTTTTTTTTTTCTCCAGATTGAGTAAAATAAAAGGGGGGGGGGGTACAAATGTATACAACAATGTGAGGGAGGATTTTTTTTCGTGACTGTTTACAAAGAATAGAAGGAGGGGGGGGCATCAATTTTAATGTTTTTTTTCTCTCTCTCTCTCTTCTCTTTATACAAGATGTTTAGAAATATTGCACGTCATGCTTTGATACCAACATGGAGACGTTCTGTTGCAGTCAAGGCTCATGTTCCACTTGTTCGTATGAGAGTGATGCAACCCTTGATTCGACCTTTTCACATGAGCCTTTTATCCCCCAACCAAAACTACAGTATTACGTAAGTGCTGATTTAAAATAAAAAGAGGGGGAGGAGGGAATATTCTAAATAATGCGTCCTATAGAGATTTGACAACGGAGAGATATCATCGATTATCAGACGAGTTATTGGAACACATGTGTATGAAATTAGAGGAACTTGCAGATGAGACAGATATGAAGGGATTTGATGTAGAATATAACGTATGTATGTACATCATAAAACGTACTGGGATGATTTTTTGAGATGTTTAAAAAAAAAAATTTAGCAAGGTGTGATGACCATCTCTGTTGGTGACCATGGTACCTATGTTATTAACAAGCAACCTCCCAATCATCAAATATGGCTATCTTCGCCTGTCAGGTAAAAACAACAACAAAAAAAAGGGGGGGGGGAAGGACATAAATTAAAAAATATATATTTGTAGTGGACCTCAACGATACGATTTTGATGAAAAGAATCATAAATGGTTTTACCATCGTGATAATCACACCTTGGACGACGTATTGAACTCAGAGTTATCGAAAGCGATGGGAGAAAAGATTGATTTACTCGAAGGATTTGAGCCTCAAGAGAAATAAATAAATTTTTTTTTTTTTATTTCTGTCCTGTGGATTCTGTGATGATAGTCGTGGGTTTTCTATACTTTTGTTTACCGAAATCAAAGGGCACATAACGGTATTTGACCATGTGTTGAATTTGTCGTCGCATGGTCAATGCAAATAGGATACAGAAATAGGCCAAAAGGATAGGCCAGAATACGGGAATATCAAAGAATGAAAAGAAACTGCAAAAAATCGCGAGGAGTGTTGCCTTGGTAGATGAATACCTTACAAATTGGGTGGTTGGGGTTAGCTTTTTTTTTTAAAAAAAGAGAAAGAGAGATCATTTACCAGAACTTGAATTCAGGAAGACGACGAATAAATGGTCTGAATTCTTGATCGTTTCTTGTAGGTAAACTAGGACCTTCCTCCTCTTCATCTTCTGTCACGCATGGATCGAATTTAGGGGTTAAAAAGGCAAGAAACATGTTTAAGAGATAAATTCCTAGAGCATAACTGCAGAGGGAGTGGAGGAGGGTTGTCTATCTTTTTTCAGTTTCTTTTTGACGCACATCTATAACTTTTTTTTTTTTACCAGACAATATACCAGCCTTGAGCAAATAGAATTCGTAAAATAAATAGACCGAAGAGTACACCGAAGGCAACCCAACGTTGCATTGTATATGGAGTTAATCTATCGACCCATGTCTGCCATCTCTATATATATATATATGTAAACGTTTTTTTTTTTTTTTAGTCCCGTGTCTTTTTATAAGAGTGAAGGTGTTTTACAGCTCCTAGTTCTGATGAACGTTGAGAAAAGCTACTTGATTCTTCAATCACTTCCTCCATTGAATTTTTAAAAAAAAAAAAAAAGTAAAATATAAAAAAAGGGGTGTGGAGTTTTTTTTTTTTTTTTGTTTCTATTTTTAAAAAATTCTTTGTGACAGTTTTGTCGTACGCATTAATTTATTTATTTAAAGGGTACACAACAATTCGAGTGTGGACAAGACAGTGTGTACATTGGGAATGTGATAAGTGGCCTCTGTACTTCTTGTACCGATAGTACAGGTGATGACCTTTAAATCCTTTTGTTTGTTCAGAAAACTAAACATGTCTTCATCCGATCGGTCATCACCTATAGATAATACAAAATCAGGTGTGGTCTCCTGTAAGATACGATTGGTAATGGAACTCTTATTGATCTCGGTAGGGATCACTTCAATGGTTGTATTGCCTGCCACTGCATGCACCGCAAAGTTCTTATTCACCGAATCAGCAATATGGTTTTGACATTCGGCTGCTTGCCATGATACAAACTGTGAATCCGCTCCTTCGGCTGTACGGTAATGCCACACAATCGAGGTGTCCTTGCATTCCACGTAGGCTCCCGGTGTACGTTCTGTGTAATATTGAAAGATCTAATTGGGAGTAAAACACATGAGTTTTTAGACAGCCCTCATACTTTTTTTTGTTTGTTTGTGGTTTTTACCTCTTGCACTGTAGGTTTCCATGAGAAATCCACATTATCATACACCTGTTTCCACTCTTCACCTTGAGGCTTGATATAAAACCCATTCTCTGCACTACATGATTTATATAGGAACGTTTGAATCATCTCTTTTTTCTTTTTTTTTAAAACTACGCACCTCAAACCTAAATTAGGCAATGAGCCTAAATCCGTATCGAGATGGCTCTTTGTTCTTCCCGAAATGACATAGACAGAATTACGAGGGTCCTCTGATAATTTAGTGAGTAATGCAATGACGCGTGCCAAATCCTGGGGCGTGGGAGGTTTTCCATGAGGGATAAGTGTACCACCATAATCAAACAAGAATCTAATATTTATAAAAAAAGAAGCGTGAGAAAACGCAGGTTGGGATGGTTGGGGGGGTTAGGGTTTTTTTCTATTTTTACAGTCGTTTTTTGCTTTGTTGACAGGCTGAGTTTAATAAATTCGCATCGAGACGAGGCATGTGTCTGGAAAATCGTCGACCGGGTGTATTATGTACTTTAGATAATCGTGTAATAATATTTCCTGCAAAGTGTTGTGCAGAATTAGTTTCGATACTTTTGTAAAGTTCCTTCCAACGGTCCGTCTTTTCATCCGATCCCATCGATAAGGCTTCATGAATGGCATCACTGACTTGCTAAATGTGATGAAGAAGGGATGAGTTGCAGTGATATATCATTTATTTTTAAATTTTGCCTTACTCTGTAATCCCAGGGGTTAACTCTGACAGATGCACCGAAGCTTCCGTATGTACCTGTAAACTAAATGCATGTTTAAGAAAGAAAAGGTGAGTGTTTCATCTTTTTTTTTTTGTATGGTGGTTATATCTGCTTTCTACCTCACTTAGGATCAATGGGTTATGTGTTTCCTTTTGACAGACAATGTATTCATGCGAGGTTAAATTCATGCCATCCCTTAGCGGAGTCAAAAGACAAGCGTCAGCGCAAGTCAATAAGGCGAGATACTGAGCAAAGGAAATATCCTGATGTAAAAACACGATGGGTTGATAGGAAATATTACTAAACTTTGAATTGACACGAGAAACGACGTCCGAGATATGCGCTCTTAATTCATTGTATTCGGATGTGGATAAAGCGATCTGAATCAACACGACTTTACCTCGCCACTCCCGATGATGGATCAAGAATTGTTCGAATGCCATGAGCTTTTGTCTTACACCCTTGATATAATCCAACTTGTCTCTCGCCACAATGAGTTTCTTGTCAGCGTATTTTTCCTTGAGTTTGGTCACCCATTGGGCTACCGTGGGGTCAGCAATCTTTTTGTTGAGCGAATGAATGTCAATACCGATGGGGTGGATACCGACCGAACAATAATGGGTGTCAAGTTGGATACCCGAGGGTGTGGCATCCACAGATAAAATACGTGCACATGTACGAAGAAAGTGTCTGGCAAATGAGTAGGTTTGAAATCCAATCACATCGGATTGTAACATGGCCTCCAATAATTCCTTTCGAGCTTTTAGGTTTTATCCCCCCCCTTTTTTTTTAATCATCTTACTTCTCTAACACGCTTTTTTTTTTTTATATACTTACGAGGTAGACATCGAAATAATTCACTACTGGGAAAAGGAATATGAAGAAAGAAACCAATCGTTGCATTGGGTATTTTTTCACGCACCATACCAGGTAGCAACATGAGATGATAATCATTGATCCAGACTTTTTATCAATATTAGATCCGGGGGGGGTGTTTAAAAATAAAAAATAAAAAAACTTACTGATATCTCCTTCTCTGTAATTCTCGACAATGGTATCTGCAAATTGTTGATTCAATTCCTTGTACGCTTTATAAGGACCGTCCTGCGACATCATATTCTTGGGATCGTCTTGTACTACATAATGAAAATAAGGCCAAAGCACCTACACAGGAAAAAAAAAAAAGAGGTAAATAAAAAAAAAAAGGGAGGAGGAGGGGAAGATCGTCATAAGATTAATTATTAAAAATAACTTGTGTATTTTTACCTGTTTACAATATTGATTATAATGTCCATCAAAGACAGTATCTGAAGGCATGACCGGATAAGAATTAAACCGTTCATTAAAAGTCGCATGAATTTCATCCTTGGTCTTTTGTGAGAGAGGATCTGTGGGCATACCCAAGGTACCAACCCAAGCGAGACTGGATAAACGATGTCGGATTGAAAAAAGAGCATTGTTGAGACCAATATTACCACCCGAACAAGGTTTAGCAGACCAAGGCGCGTCAGCAAATACTTGAGCACTGTCGATCGAAGGTCTTCTGCTTTGAGAAGGAATGACGGATAATAAGGGAGCTAATTTACGGATCTCTTCCTGACGTTGTTGTTTACTACGAGGTTGAACCAGTTGTTCAGGTTTTGTAAAATCAAATAAGGCATCTTTTTCCTTTTGTTGTAGTTTGGCTAGACTTTGAATGAGGTTGGTGACATCGTCCGTCTTTTTCTTGTTGTCATTGGATGAAACCGTATCCACAGTAAAGGTGTGTTTCTTTTTATCTTGTAATTCAAAGTCTACAGTGTAAGGTAAAAACAAGGTTGCAATCACAACTCTTTTATCTGTTAGACTTGTCATTCTGCAAACAACAACAATTTAAAAAAAGAAAGGGTAAAAAAATAGACAGACAGAGAAAAAAAAAAATGTTTTTGCAATACAACCAAATAAGGGAACCCCTCTTTCTTTTTTCTTTTTTTCTTTTTTTTTTTTTTTGTATGTGGGCGGTAGTTTAAAACGTGTATGATGTCAATCAGTGGATATGAGAACTCTTTCCTCATTTCACTCACCCACCGTATCAAGGCGAAATGCGGATTCCTCTATTGTCTATTGTAAAATTGCGGGGTAAAAATTATTTTACAGTCGGATTCAGGAACGGCAGGTTGTTTTATTTTTTTAACGCTGAAGAAGAAGAAGGCCTTAAAAAAGAGAAGGGGGGGGGATGTATGTCTTTTTTTTTTTGTTTGGATGTAAACATTACCAATGAGTTTCTCCGTTTTGGGTTGATTTTCTTTGCTTTCACATGCGAACATTGTTTTATCAGTGTGCTTTTAAAGCATTAGAAGATTCCATGTGAAAAAAAATAAATAATTAAAAAAAAGGGTATCGTTCCTCCAAAAAAAAAAAAAAAAAAAAAAAAAAACGCGGGGATGCGGTCATTGAATGTGTGTGAGATAAATAGAGCTTGAAGATGGCCCCACATCTTTCCCTTCTTCCCAACTTAATTTTTTTTTTAATTCTCTCTCTCTTCAAGTATGGTCAAAGTAACTGTTTGTGGTGCTGCTGGTGGTATTGGTCAACCTCTCTCTTTGCTCTTAAAGCAATCCAATTTGATCACTCATTTAGCTCTTTATGATATTGTGAACACTCCCGGTGTTGCCGCTGATCTTAGGTATTTTCCCTTTTTCTACCCATTTTTTTTCCATAGGTTACCATTTAAACTAACGTTCTTTGGATTTATAAAGTCATATTAACACTCAGTCCAAGGTAACCGGTCATGTTGGTGCAGCTCAAATTGAAGAAGCTATTAAAGATGCTTCTATTGGTTAGTTTTTTTTTTTTTTTTTTTTCTTAATCACTGATAACATCTCTCTGGTGTAGTTGTCATCCCCGCTGGTGTCCCCAGAAAGCCTGGTATGACTCGTGACGATCTCTTCAAGATTAATGCTGGTATCGTTCGTGATCTTGCTGTTGCTGCTGCCAAGTTTGCTCCCAAGGCCTACATGTGTATTATTTCTAACCCAGTCAATTCCACTGTACCTATTGTTGCTGAAGTCTTTAAGCAATTCAACGTCTATGATCCTCGTCGAATCTTTGGTGTGACCACATTGGATATTGTCCGTGCCTCTACTTTTGTCTCTGAACTTATTGGTGGTTGCCCCAGTACGCTCCGTGTTCCCGTTATTGGCGGCCACAGTGGTGTTACGATCTTGCCTTTATTGTCTCAAGTTCAGGGTACTGATAAGTTAACGCAAGAACAAATTGAAAAGGTAACTCATCGTATCCAATTCGGTGGTGATGAGGTTGTCAAGGCTAAAGATGGTGCTGGTTCTGCTACCCTTTCCATGGCCTTTGCTGGTGCTCGTTTTGCCTTGAATATTCTTGATGCCGTCGTGGCTGGTAAGACAGGTATTGTTGAGTGCACTTATGTTCATTTGGATGCTGACAAGTCCGGTGCTGAGTCCGTCAAGAACTTGATTGGTGGCGACATTGACTACTTTTCTGTTCCTGTTGAGTTGGGTCCTAACGGTGTTCACAAGATCTTGCCTATTGGTGAAATCAATGAATACGAACAAAAATTAATCTCGGCTGCCACTGCTGAATTAAACGGTAACATTGAAAAGGGTTCCAACTTTATCACTGAAGGTTCCAAGTTGTAAAGAAAAAAAAAAAAAATACATGCATATTTTTTTTCAAAGATTATACCAATAAAAAAAAAAAATGGTAGTATATTAAAAAAAAAAATAACTGAGGGGGTGGGGTGGAACAGTTATTTTTTTTTTATTATTATCATTTATTTGTAGCAAAAAAAAAAAACAAACAATCATGTACATTTGTATTTATTATTTCCCGTTGGATTTGTGATTGTCTTCGGATATCGCCAGCGACAAGTTATTTGTGGCTGTTGTGAGTGCTTGCACACTTGTATTATTTGGACTGCACTTTAATCCGTACAGGTAGCCACTAAATCAAAAAAAAGGGGGGGTAGGGAAAACGTCAACCCACACATGTCATTTAAGCACATACAAAAAAAAAACTTACAGGTATTTTTGATCGTCAATTCTATCTTCGAAAAACATTTGTCTCATTTTAAAGAAGGTTGTACAAGTTAATAAACTATCACTTCCTGCCTGATGTTGAGGTCCAATCCTTGCCACCTAAAAAAAAAAAAAAAAATTATGCAAAAGAGAAAAAATTAAAACTCATGGAAAATTTTCATTGTATTTTCCCCCCCATTCATTGTATTTTCATTTTTCTTTTTTTTTTTTTTCTTTTTTACCTGTAAATCATCAGCAATGTCTTGTAATCCACCTTTTAGATTTTTGCAACTCTTCATTAAATATTTAATATCATATATACAAGGAAAATACGTTCTTAAAAGCTCGAAAAATTCTGATTCATCGGCTGGCATAACGGAGCACGTAAGCACTTTTAACAAGTATCCGAAATCATACCCACTAAAAAATAGATGGTTTGCAAACAGAGGTCAGTTCCTCTCCTCCCCCTTTTTCTTATTCTCTCTCTCTCCCTCCCTCTGTATAATATCCGCTTCCCCCCCTTCCCCCATCTTACCTGTGAAACGAAATCCACTTGACATCATCCAACAAGACAAATCCAGAACTAATCAAGAGTTCGCCAAAATGTTCCACATCAATACCGTATTCCTCATGCTTTTTAAAATCAATGCCGGACTTTGTTAATAATTCAATGGAATCTTGAGCATACATGTCATCGCTATCAAAAAAAAACATGTTAACACACACAGTGATTTAAAAAAAGGGGGGGATATATATAAAAAAAAAAGTAAAAAATAACATACGACAAGTTGAATTTAAAGTTGAATTGCCAAGTACAAATGTTACTGGGTAAGTTACCATACTGATCAGCAAACGTAACTCCCAACTGAATAATCTTTAATAAATCCACATTACATCGCAGTGTTTGGTAATGATAATCGGACGACGTTTTGAAAGTCCCGATGGGTCTGGCAACAACACCAGGAAACTCGGTATCCTATAATACACACACATGAAGGCATCAGTGTCCCCCTTCCTCTCTCTCTTTTTTTTTTTTTTCTCATCTCTTTTTTTTTTTTTCTTTCTTTTTCTCACCATGGCTAAATAAGGGTATTCTTCCACCAAGTCACGAAGGTACGCCATCTCTTCTTCCAAGTTCTCTGCCCACACTTCCTTGATATATTTCGCATCGTTGACTGGCATGATTCTTTTTTTTAATTATAAATTGTTTAACTGAGTAAAAAAAAAAAAAGGGAAAATCCCGTTTTCTTTTTTTTTATATATATATATAAATCTATATTTTTAATGCGACGTCATTCAAATTGAGAGCACCGCCCCCCTTTTTTTTTTTTTCCTTCCGCGAGCGCGTGTGCACGCAATGATACCCTTTTCTTTTTCTTTCTTTACCCCCCCCCCCTCACCCCACACACATACACAGGCCTTTTCCACTAATAAAAAAAAACATTGTGTTTCTATCTTGACAAAAAAAAGATCACACTGCGCAAAAAATAACCTCACATTGTGATTTTTTTTTTTAGTGTACCTATAGTGAAGAGGGTGGGGATCAGCGTAATAATGAATTAATTCATGCATGGTACAAAACATAAAACGGGAAACCTGGGTGGGTGATCTTTACTTACCCGAAAAAGTAGAGTCCCATCTGAGTGTGTATTCAGTATGGTTTATTCATTAAAAAAAAAAAGTATATATATCATGAAATATATAGGAAATATAAGAGAGAGAGAGAAAGATGAGTAAGAGTGCTTGTGCGTGTGTGTTTAAAAAAAAAAAAAAGAAGAAAAAAGAGAGAGAGAGAAAGGAGGGGGAAAAGACTATGTACAAATAATAAAAGAAGAAGAGAAAGATTCGCCTAATTTCAGCTTCTTTTTAAAAGAGTGAGAACAGCAGCGGCCTCTACTGCATCTTCACCGACGTAAACAGACAGGGTTTCTGTATCATACATCAAGGAAGATATATCTCGTTTTAGATCTTGTTGATCCAATAAGCTGGTAATAGAAGGTGAATTATTTGGAGAAGAAAAGGATTCAAGAGGACTACGCGAATCTGAAGTAGAGGAAGAAGCGCTATGACCTTCCCAATGAACAGCAGAAGGAGCAGCAACGGCAGCAGCAGCAGCAGCAGTGGCAGTGGCAGCAGTGGCAATGGCAGAAGTATTAGCTGTTAATGACGGCGGTGCAGGTACAGCAAAAGCATCGTCATAATCATCGTGTGGATCTCGCTTTTTACCACGCTTCGTTGTGCTACCACCATTACTACTAGTTGTATTGGATCTCTTTCTTTTCTTTTCAGCTTTACTGCCTCGTCTATTACTATGACTTGTTGTAAGGGTCGCCGAGGGAGGAACAATCGTGTCCGGTGCATCATTTCCATTTAATATTTTACCGTGTTTCCACTTGACTCCACATGCATTACAAAGTGTACCTGCTCCTTGTGGTCCTCGGCGCCACATGGGCGTTGATTTGGAACCACAATATAAACATTTCTTTATTGGATTCGATGTATTGGCTCGATTCACCTTTTGTTGTTGAGCGATCACTGGACTTACTACTTTGACTGTCACAGGAGTAGGGTCTATATATATATATAAATGTAATTTTTTTTTTTTTTAGTTCCCAAATTTTTATTTCTTTCGTGTGTGTGCCCCCAGCGTTGAGGGGGGGCGCGTTGTCACTTTTTTTACCCTTCTCCCAGCCAAACTGCTCATCGCTGCTACTCCAGTCGTCATTTTTAGATGCTTGATAATCGTCATCTGATTGGCTAGGAACCGTTACCTCTGGAAACGATTTATGGTGAATGATTTTCTCGCTATGCAATTTCATCTATAAATGCAAGTTTTTTTTTTTTTAGCTTTTTTATCAAAAAAATGGACATGTAGATTTTTTTTTTTTTTTTTTACCAGCTCCATCATGTTGTGACACATGATTTCATAAGCGGACACCATTTGTTTAATCGCTCTGTAGAGTTCATGCGGTACATTGGATAAGATGATATTATTTACATGACCTTCACTTTTGGATTGATCTGGTAAGGTGAGTTTACAGCTGGTGCTACACACCGCAGCGAATTCCTCTAATTTGGTCTTGAATGATCCTTCTTCCATGATAGGAGGAGGGTAAGAATGACAAGCACATTGTGAATTTTGAGAGATACCACATGATTGAGGAAAAAACGAGAACAGTAACTAATTTTTTTTTTTAGGCGAAAAAGCACAGAAAAACATTCTTTTTATATATATACCTTGCTGGTTTCGGTCAAACATTCAGTCACAGCGTCCCGAGGTAAAGCGAAAAATGTGTGTTCTGGAGATAAATGGATGGGTCCTTTATCGACAGAAAAGATGATTTCATAACGAATCATGCGTCTGCGTTTTCTTTTCTTGGGTGGTAATCCTTTTATTGTTGTGGTTGTGGTGGTGTTGTTGTTGAGAGCATAGTTGGCTAATCCGTCCAAGGCGGTATTGTCGACGGCCATAGTGCTGGTTTGAGTGGTAAAAGCATCGTCATCAGGAAGAGAGCCTTCGCATCGAGTGTTAATCTCTGAAATTTCCGACTCGGTAATCTCATAAAAGGTAGCCAAAGGAAAGACAAGAGATCCAAACGTTAACGAACAACTCCCAAGACACCTGTTTTGAAACCGATGCACATGGCCATCCACTGGATCGATGTAATCTTGGCTGATATGGATGGGTAACTTGTAAAGTTGAAACGCATCGAGTAGAACGTTCCTGTAATTTTTTGAATGGGGAAGCCTATATATATATATTTTTAACAAAAGGTCCAAGGATGCAAGAAAAAAAAAAAAGAAAATTAAAATGGAAATGTATATTTACCCATTGACTTCTTGCCTTGTTGTAAGCATCTCGTTCTTGTTTCTTTACACACTCACAAAAAAAAAGATGAGAAATATATATAAAAAAAAAAGAAAAAAAAAATTGAGCGAGAGAGAGAGAGAAAAAAAAAAAAAAAAAGATAACAAGGGGGTTGAATTAGATGAAATAAAAATAGATCGATCAAAAAAAAAAAAAAAAAGATGACAATGGCGATTTGTAGTCAATCAAGGAACCAATGCAAAAGGATGATATGAGACGCTTACTAGAAAAAAGGTCCAAGTGGGATAGAGAAAACAAGTGGGGGATGAGGAGGGGAAAGACGTCAAGATGAGAAAAAAAAGAGCAAGAAGGTTTCCAAATATGAAATAAACGTCGACTATTTTAAAAAAAAAAAAAAAAAAAATCAATCACTAAAAAAAACACTTCTGTAAAAAAAAAAAAAAAACTACCCTTCTTGAGAGGGTTTTATTATGTTTTCATCTTTATCGTCATGGAATATATCGAAATATGTCAAGTACTGGATAAACTTCACTTCATTAAAAAGAAAAATCATTTGGGCTCGGGTAATTCTCTCGCTCCCAACCAAAAAAAAAAAAAAAAAAAAAAAAAAAAATAGGCTACAGCTTCGATATGCAACTTTGTTGTGCATATATAATGTCTTTTTTAAGGGGGAAAGCTGTGAAATACTTGTCAATATACTTTCTCTCTTAACGCCAAGGTTTTTAATTTGCATTGGTGGTGTCCCTCTCTCTCTCTTCTTTCCAAAAGCGGTGATTCAATTATAGGTTCATCAATCTTGAGCAAGTAAAAAAAAAAAAAGAAACCGCACAGAAGCAAACAGAATAAATTATCCGCATCTCTCAGTTATCTTTCTTCATCATACACAGGTCTACATCTCTTCTTTTTTTTTTGTGTGTGTCTACACTCCGAGACGATGTTGTCATTCTTTTTAAGGCAGAGAGCTCGTAATGCCTCATGTTACACTTCCCCTTATTTATGCTTCAGACAATTCCGAGTCACGTCCACTCATTCTATCACTTGTTCTACACTAGTTCTAAGTTGCTAAAAGAATTACTATTTCGTAAAATATCGACAAACATTGTCGCGTAACATGCACTTTTTTTTTTCTTTTCATCTATAGTAAATAAAAAGTGGCTTTCACCATGTGAGAATATCAAGTATTTTTCCCAGGATTTAATAACACAATGTATGGATAAACCTTTGATCCTGTTATCGTATCTTCTTTTTTTTTTTTTCTTTTGGTAATATAGAGATTGTATATAAAAGATCTTTACTGCTCGTCATTTTGTATGTGTAAAATGACTAAAAATAATATTTCTCTCGTTAGCCAGAGTAAAATGATTCCTAATTTTTTTTTTTTTTTTAGCAAACATTTCTCGAGATGACAGGCGGGTTCATTACGTCTCTCTGTGTTTATCATCTGATAATAAATCAAGTTAGAGACATTTCGTAAACAACTAAAAAAAAAAAAAAAAAAAAAATTGGATTTCGCACTCGACTTTCCAGGTAAAAAAAATTAAATTAAAAAAACCTGCTTGATGAATTCCATTTACAACCGAGACGTTACGGGTTTATCTAACGGTTGAAATAATTGTGTAAAGCCTATTTTAATTATGACGCGATATGACTACAGGACATCTATCTATATCTATAAAAAAATCGGATGCTCCCTTTGTTGCAATAATAAAAATAAGGTAGTCGTGTCATTCTACCTAAATAAACTGTATTCAATGTAAAATCCCTTCACTCACTATTTCATTAAAAAGACTCCCCTGTTAAAAAGAAAGCGCTGGCATGGGGAATACAACCATTTTTCTTTTACACTATTTCTTTAATTATCTTTTAAATGGTACTCCGTTTGATAGTATAAAATATTTAAGAGATAAAAAAAAAAAAAAAAAGGCAGATCGTGCTACTACTTTTTAATTTGTTTGTATGCCTTATTTTTCAGACGTTGAGTTAATATTTAATTTTCTGATGCAAACATAATACAATTAGATAGAATGAAAAAAAATTTTAAGTTATAATTGGGATTCTCAAAAAAATCTATCCATCACCATCAGACATAAAGAACTCAAAAAAAGGTACATTTTTTTTTTTTTTTCTTGTACCTGATTTATTGGGGAACTTAAATTATGGTTCCTCATTTTTGCAATTTTGAAGGTGTCTTCTTTATACTTCTTTCGAGAAACAACACACACACACACACACACACACACATGCTTATTTAATAAAGTTAATTAGCAAGAACTTGGGCTTAGGATCCTAGTAATGGTTTTTGGTTGATTTACCCCTTTCTGCATTTTTTTATACCGTTAAACTATTATCCAATAGAAATCATT